AGGATAAAAGCACAGTTCGGGAGTTCTTTCTCCTCTTAGCCTGAGCAGCAGGACAGAAGGGCTGAGCGCTGATGAGTGTTTTACATCGGCGTTATCGGGTGTTTTTTGCTGTGATATTAAAGTCCACGACACCTGATTCTGTATTATCTATGCGATTGAGCTGCATGATCGACCTCGCAGTACAACTTGGGCTACGATCCAGCAGCGCCGTCGGGTTTCTCCGATGTGCATTGTTTTTCTTTTCATTTCTCTCCTTTGCTAGTATTGTTATTATATATATTTTTTCTTTGGTTATCGCATGACTCTCAATCTTTGCTACTTTACGCATGGCATGACTGAATTGGCACTCCGTCATCTCTTTGCCCCTGGATCGAGCGTGGAGCGTGGACGTGCTTGATTGATCGATACGATCCATCGGACGGGCCAGCGGGGAGCGTCGTTTATAGTACGTACCATTCGATAGTAGCAGCGGTCAGAACACTGGGAAGATTGTGCTGCTGGCACCCGACGTGTGGAGCGCTTTGGAGCGTCGATGGTCGCTCATTGAGTATCGACACCTGGTTTGTTTGCTGCAGACCCCTGGCATGAGGAGTGCTTCGGAACGTCGCTAAGGTTGATTGGTCACTACGACCCTCCGGTCAGGGCCAACGTAAGAGCGTGGTCTCCATACTACTGGTGGAACGTTCCAGTACTTAGGATTGCGGGTGGGGTACTAGATATCGCCATCTTGTCTGGATGATACGGACCATCCGCCGGGGGGAGGTTATGTCCAAGCTGCTGGTTCGGGTGTCGTATGGTTGATCATTCCATGCTTCCTCGTCCGGGTTTGGCTTGTTCAGACACATGAGTGATCGAAACTGTTCTTTAGATACCCACAAGCACTAGAGTCTACAGGATTATACGTACTGACATTTGTTTTGATCTGATTATTGATATATATATATATATATATATATATATATATATATTTGCAATTGTGTTATTATCCTAATTTGTGAAGCGCATGCAGGCGCGTGGTAGGGGTCGGGGTAGGGGTAGGTGGTCGAATTGTGGGAGATATTGGATGGAGACCCCTCCTCCTCCCCCACCRGCGCAACCACCAGCTGCTCCGTTCTCAGGGAGCATCCCCTATCAAACTCYGGTTAACCCTTTCTTCCCACCCTTTGGTTCGAATCYGCTTGGTTATAAYCCGATACCRCCGAACTTCRTTGGGGCTCAGCCGCAGGCGCCTTGGCCATTCGCTGGAGTATCCTCTGCTCCTGCGCAATCGGGGGGGCAGTATAGCCAGGGATATGGACGTGGGAATGGAGGTTACCAGAATCGTGCCTTCTTCACGCGGGAGCACGCTGATTTCATTGAGAAATTGAAATTGAAGGATGATGTGGACGAAGCACGAAAAAAAGATCTTGAGGAAATAGCGAGACTGAAGGAGCTTGGGATGGAGTGGGGAAAGAAAAAAGAAGTGGAGAAAGATAAAGAGTTGAAAGAAAAGAAGAGGAAGCAAGGGAAGGATAAGGGAAAAGGGAAGATCGTCGATGATGGGAAGGAGGATGTGATGAAGAAATGGGTTGCGACTAACTTTGGGGGGTCTCTGAAGATACTCGCAGAGAAGCTCGAGGAAGTGGATAAAAAATCAAAGTTAAAGGATGATGAATTGGAGGAGCTAAAGATGCTGCGGGCAGAAAAAGAACTCAGGGAGTTGAGGGAAAGCTCCAGCTCGGAAAAAAGGAAGAGGGAGATGGCTTCGCCGTCTCGCCCAGTGAAAGGTAAGGTTAGATCCAGATCAGCGCTCCTAAGAAGGCGAGGAAAAGAGAAGACCCAGAAGCCTGTGGAGGTGCTATCGGATGAGGAGGGGAGGGAGATTGAAAAAGATGGGGTGGTGCAAAATTTGAGCGGGAAAATGGAAAGTTTCTCTGGTGGGGCGAAGGACTTGGTGGAATTGAAGGGACTGCTTAAAGACCTGCTAGCGGGGGGAACACATGCTACCGGCAGCAGCAATATAGCTGTTGGGCAAGACAGAAAGCAAGGGGAAGATGGATTTGGGCGCGGGGAACAGGAAGGTGATGCTGGCGAACCCCAAAAGATGACGATGGTGACCGAGAAGAACGAAGAAGGGGAGAAAGAAGAGGGGTCACTGGGACTATATTTCAAGGACAGGGTAATCTATTATGATGCGTTGCACTACACGGAAATCCAGGCGCTGTGCAAAAAGAAGGGTATCYCGTACAAACGGAAAGAAGGAGGAGTATGRGAGCTCGCCAGGTTGGATTTCGAGKTACTGCARAAACTGGAGGRGAAAGAGAAAAAGGCCGACGAGGATGAGGAGGAAGTAAAGAAGAGTGATGAGGAAGAAGGGGAAGAAACATCTAGTAGTTCGGACTCCGATGAGGAATCACGAGGAGATGATCTGGCGGGAAACTAGATCTGACTAGTAAGAGAACGCTATTGAGGGTATGCAGGAGACTGATTGAGCTTGGAAAGAAGTATCAGAAGATCAATGGGAGGGAGACGAGTGATGTACTAAAGCTGATTGTACTTGCACTGTGTCTCAGAGGAGACATCAGATGGGGTAGAGCCTACGTTAAGTATTGGACGAGCCTCAGTACCACTGACTGGGACAGGCTGCTAAATGGCAATTGTTGTGTGTAACTTTTAATCTCTCCTTTTTTCAAAAACACCTATGTTGGAAAAACGGAGAGGGATTTGAAGACCCGATGGCACGAACATGTGAGGACCACCGAATCCGAACCAAAACAAAAAGTGCACAGCTGGTTGGGTAAAGTTGGTGTAGAGAATTATGTTGCCTTGCCATTGTGGTTTGGAAGCAAGAGTTCACTTGGTTGCATGGAAGATGTTGTCATTCGAAGTCTCAACCCTGGTTTGAATACGAGAAAGGTAAATCACAAACCATCTCGGAGGAAGCCTATAACACAATGGAAGGCTGGGAAAGGCTTTGAACCGTGTAAAAAGTCGATTTTGTTTGATTGCGATTATTTGAACATCAAAGGTGACCCTAGTCTCTTGAACATATTGAAGAGGGCAGCTAATGTGAAGAGGCTTAGACTATTTAACTGTGCAGGGGATTATAGGCTTAAACCATGGGGGCTAGTTAAATTGTTATTTGATTTCAGTACTGTTGAATTTCTAGGGAAGAAGTTTTATTAAAGGATGTGAAACCATTTATCCAAGAGGGTGGGGAATGGTTTGTAACAAACCTGATAAGGACAAGGAACAAGTCAGAAATGGCTAAGGCTGACGTAATCACTATATTGAGATCCCCTTGGAAGAGGAAGACTTTGTATAAAATGAAAATAGAAGAACTGTTGAGATTAAACGCAGGAATTAAGTTGTTAAACTCAACAAGGGGTAGACAAATCASCAGGGGTATTATCACAAGGGTTACMAAAAAGGTTTTTGGAATTAATCCTAGACACCGGATAACGGTGAAACTACCTTTTTCAGACTCAGTAAGTAAGAAGAAAGTGCATGCTTGTTTTAAGGATTGCTTGAAAGGGATGATCTCCCCAAGTTGTCTGTCTGACTTGTTGATTGGTAGAATGAGAACTGTCTGGCAGAAAAGGAAATCTGTCGGGGACATTCTACATAATCACCAACGCTTTGCAAGAATGAGCGGGTGGCCCTGCACTTGCAAAGGTTTTGACCTGCCCAAAGTAAACGGGCACGTTCGGGTTAGATTAGATGAAATTGAGGGGATCAGGGATTTTGTGTTGAATGCAAATAATATACCGTATCCAGGGAGGTTGCTGAAAGGGAAAGACGTAAACCAAGCATGTAACAATGCGTTGGAACCATTGAAGAAGATGGGATGTGTGCAACAAACACAACAAGTGCACTTGAGTTGGAAGGAATATTGCGTAAAAGGGACGTCACATTTGGTGGGTTGTGACACCGAGTATGTCTTGGGGCAGGAACAAGCTCTGAAGGGGCTAGTACTCTCGCCACTAAACAGGAATCCAGGTGCCACTCTTGTGGAATGCCCGACTTTGTACGTTGAGGGCATGAAGATGATGTACAATGACAATGTGAACTATAGAAAGTTAGAAATGTCTGAGGATGTAATATTAAAAGAAGCTAAAACCCAGTATCTTGGTCAGAAGCTTGGACGAATTGCAAAATGGGATAATAGGGGGAGGTTACAGCAGACAAATATCATGTCCAAAGACAAAGATGTGTGCAAGAAAAGGCCGATAGTGCCATCCTTCCTAAATCCCGCAAAGGACGCCATGGGTTACTTGGCTCAGAGTTTGAATTTCCTTATCCGAAGGCTGCGGGTAAGGCACTTTAATCTCATGGGGGCTAAGCACCTGAAAGAAAAGGTCAGAGAAGCAAATGAATCGGCTCATCTTGCTTATGGAAGTGACGCGGGTATTACCAGAAGGACTTATGATGTAAAGGAGATGTTTACAAAACTACCCCATGAACAGATCATGGAGGCAGTAGCTTGGCTGATCAGGTTTTTCAACGATAAGGGACATTATTGGATCCGTATAAAGAGGAAAGGGAAAAAGGCCACTTTTGGCAAATCACACGGGGAAGCTGGTTGGAAATCGATAAGATTATCGGATCTGTTGGCTCTGACGAAGTTTCAGTTGGACAATACTGTGTTCTACTCATTGGCGCAAATCTTGAAGCAAGACATTGGTATCCCAATGGGAGGTAGAGCTAGCCCTCCACTTGCAAACGTTCTATGCATCTATGCTGAACAACAGTTTTTAGTGACTTTGGGGAAGGATGCAAGATACATTGACGACAGTCGTTTCATTGATGATCTTTTACTGATAGGCTGGTTTGACAGGAAGGAGAAGGAAGGAGTTGAGCGCATTGAAAGTACACTCGACAAGATCATGGGTTGCTACCACAAGGACCTTATTTTGGAGAGGATGGACCCAAGGAATGGCATCGCTGAATATCTAGAAACCAGGTTGATTGTTATAGATTCCCCGGCCTGGATTCACAGCTTTCAGAAGTTCAAGAACTTGGAAACCATTTGGGAAGGGAGGGTTGGTCGTTTCCGAACTTTGCGGAGTTTTGACTCCTACGCCCCCTTGATCCAAAAATTTGGAACAGTGTCGAATGTTGTTTGTCGGATACTGGACAATACAAATACCAGACTCTCACTGTGGTGGAGTTTGGTGACTTTTCTGAAAGAAATGAAGGTGATTGGTTACCCGGAGGAGTTGTTCAGAGCTGGACTTTTGAAAATGAAGAAAAGAAACACACGACTGGATGAAGACATGGTGGCAATGTTGATAAACTGGAGAGAAAGCGAAAACCGGGAGGAGGGTGGGTGTTTTTTTTTTCAGAACCACGGAGAGAAAGGGTGCGGTAGGAGGGAACCCAGCACATAGGGACAATCTGGAGAGGAAAAGAGGGAAGGTCCACCGGTGAAGGGCTGAGTGAAAGGTTCGAAAGTCGGCCCCGCGTGGGAGTAGCAAAGGTTGAGATGAATGCTGTTTGGAGAGTTTTATTTTATTTTATATTTTGTTTTTTGAACTTTTTTCAGAGCTCCTTTGGAGCCCTTTTTACTTTTTATTTTTTTCTGAGTGTATTGGAAGAGATTGGCTTGTAGTATGGTAGGCTTGATTTCCTTGGGTTTTCCTGGACGCCGCGCCGGCGGCATTTCCAACGGTAACTCGGTGAATTTTCTTTTGCGGACTAGAGTTGGCGTATGGTAGGCTTGTTTTCCTCGGGTTTC